GGGCGCGACGTGGACGCTGGCGTTCGTCGCTCCTTGAGGATTGCTTCCCATTTACCCTCTAAGTCCTAAAATCCTATCGCCGTATCGGCCCACGGCTGGGGTGGAGTTGCCCCGGCAGGCTCGACCCTGTTGGTTTTGCTAGCGGATGTTGCCTCCGTTCTGGATCTGGGAGACTCTGTAAAGACTGAAAGCTGAGCTGTCCCGATGGGGGCCCGAAAGTGGACTTTTTCGCTCGCAAATGGGTCCGGGAGTACAATGAGAGAGGAGTATGTGTGCTGGCTGGGAGCCTTGCAGCCAGAGAGTACCAGCTCTGACCTTGGGCGGTGACCTTTCCCAGACTCAGTTTCTTCATTACGGAGAGGGGTGAAGGAGGCAATGGACGGAAGCCCTTTGCGCGGTGCCTGCACAGGCAAACGCTCAATTTGAGTTCTTGCTGTTGTGACAAGTGTGCAGGTAAGAGCCATAGATATATAAAAATCGTTTAAGCTCACTTCTCGAGTGATGACCATGACACTCCTTGAGGGTAATCTACCTCCTCCTGGCCACGTCCTCAGCCGTATTTCCGTGCCACCCTTCGTGACTCCATCTGGACCACTTCCTAAGGCCTTGGCTTCCGGGCCGCTTGGACAGCACTGGTGGAAGACTGCCTGGGCCATGTGGGTGTTGGCTGGAATCTACCAGATAGTGACCTGCCTTCCTGTCTTCCACCAAAAGGGAGCACTTTCAGGGCAGTGGCTTGTTGCTCATCAGTGTATCCAAGTACCTGACAACATTCCTGGCATATAATAGGAAGGCAGATCCCTTGAATAAATGGAAGTTATCTGGAGCAGAGGCCAAGTTGCTATCTATATAATGCCCAACCATTTTGCCCTCCAGCCCCAAAATAGTCTAACAAAGCTCTTCTTCCAGTAAGAGGGTCAGAATGACTTTGTTTTTCAAGATCCCTCTTCTTTTAAATCGTTTTATTAAGGTTAATTGATATACAACAAACTATACATATTTAAAATACACACTTTTATGCTTTGACAGATGTATACACCTGTGACGACAATAATCAATTTTTAATGATCATTTATGTAGGTGGCACTAGATCTAAAGATAATATATACTCAATGTGGAAAAGTTTTAAATGCACAAAGAATAAAATAAGAAGTACTTTAATTCTACCATCCAGATATAACCATTGGTAAGATTGCATTATATTTCCAAACAAGACTTTTGGGCTGCGGATTAACTTTTTTTAATGTGGATTAAATTATACTGAACATAAAGGTTTGCATTCTACACTTTTCATATTCCCGTACCATTAGTAATTGTTTCCTTCAAATATGAGGTATTTAGGTTACATAGAACTTTTCTCTATTTTAGATAAAACATTGATAAATATCTCTGTTTACAAATCCTTTTCCTCATATTTGATTATTTCCTTAGGCAGATTACCAGAAACAAATTTGGGTCAAAGGGTTTAAGTCTGTTTCCTTTTTTTGTTCTTTTCAAAATAGAATAAACTAGGAAGCTGTCTATAACTATCCCCTCTGCCTTCTCCCTACCCAACTTCAGTCCTAACCTAACCTCTGTGAAAGTTAAGCCTATGAGCATGAGGGAACTTGGTGGGTAACAAAAAAAGTTCTAAAACCTGATTGTAGTAATGATTGCACAACTGTATACATTTACTAAAAATCATTGGATTGTATACTGACAGAGGATGAATTTTATGGTATGTAAATTATACCACAATAAAGCTGCTTTTAAAAAGTTAGATATAGATATAGAGATTTAACCAGATTTTTTTCTATGCATACATTTTTTAAATATAAAAATGGTGTCCAGTATGGATCATGGATATCTTTCCATGCCAGCACAAATAGATGTATCCAATCCTTTTTAATAGGTGCATGGGGGTCCCAGCGTATAACCTGACCACAATTTATTTAAGCATTACTCTATTCGTAGGCATTTAGGTGGTTTCCAATTTTTTGTTATCATAAGCAATACCACAGTGAGCATGCATGTACAAGCATCTTTGTGTATTTGTCTGATTATATTTCCTTAAGATAAAATACGAGAAGTGGGGTCGCTGAGTCAAAGACCATATTCAGAATAGTTTTTAACCTGTATTGCCAAATTGGCCTGTAGAAATGTTGTACTAAATTACACTCCTACTAGCAATATATGAGAGTGCCAGTTTCACCACACCCTCAATAGCACCAAGGTATTATCTCATCTTTTTAATCTTTGTCAAGTTGATAGCCCAAAATAACCTCTCATTTACAATTCTCTGATTATGAGTGATGTAACACCTTTTCATATGTATATTGGCCAATTTGTCTTATTTTATGAATTGCCTCATCATATCAAAGAATAATATCAAGTGTCATTGTTAATATTGTATAAATGAGGTGATCAAGTCTAACATTGGTAAAATGATGAAGTTAATGGTAGCTTATACATTTTTTTATGAAGTTATAGCCACAGAAATTATTTAATACAGGTGAAATATCATTTAGACAGATTCAGATTTTCCCAGTAATGACCCTGATATCTAGATGTTTGTGTTATTTGTAAATCATAGTTTGGCTTCCTTGAATTTTTAAACCTTTAAAAGTGAAGTTTAACCAGTGGTCATGTAAAGTATTCACATAATACACAATTTTTTGGCTCCACTCACCTTAAAAATAGTTTAAGACATTCTCACTAACAGCTCAGTGAGGGGAGAACTATCTTCACAATTTTCTAGGTAACTAACCTTCACTAAAATAATAAGGATATCACTAAAAATTAAAAATTGAGCCCTGGCCCTGCAGCTCAGTTGGTTGGAGCATCCCCGATGGGCCAAGGTTTCAGACTGATCACCATCAGGGTACCTGTGGGAATCAACCAATGAGTGCATGGGTGAGTGGAGCAACAGATTGATGTTTCTTTCTCTCTCCCTCTCTCCCTCCCTCCTCCTCTCTCTGAAAATCAATAAAAAACATTTTTAATTAAAAATTGAATATGTATTGACTGCTTACTACATGCCAGCTCTGTGCTAAGTGGTTTACACATATCATCTCATTTAAGCCTCATATCAACCCTATGAGATAGGTTCTAAAATAGCCCCCATAAAAGCGAGGAAAACTGAGACAAGATTACTCAGAGATAATAATAGCAGATATGAACTGGAATCCAGGTCTTGGTAAACCAAAGTCGCTAGCGTTGAACAACTAAGACTGTCTCCTTAGCTTTACTAAGCTTCTGTAATAACTATCTCACAGGGCTGTTGCCACCCACTGCTGTTTCTCCTTTCCTTCTTAACTTGAAAATGTACTCTACTCACTGTCTCTCCGTTGTTAGCCCCCAAGGGTGTATGTGTGTAAGTGTGTATATGTAGGTATATATGTATACTGTATATGTGTTTATATGTGAGTGTGTATATGTGTGCATGTGTGGAAGTGTATGGGAGCATGCATGTTTGTGTATGAGCATGTGTGTGACTATATATGTATATGGGTATTTGAGGGTACATTTGTGTGTAGGCATGCGTATGTCTGAGTATATGTATAATGATATGTATATGTTTCCCCCTCTAGACTGAGAGCACTCTGAGGACAGGGACTGTGTCTTGCTCATCCCTACAACCCCTGCATCTAGCCCAATACCGTATCTTCCTATTCCATAAATTTGTGTTGAATAATGAATGAAAATGAAAGAACTTTATACCTACTGAAAGCAAATTGCATGTCAATTCCTTTCCCTTCCTTGTTTCTAATTTAGGCAGCAAATTTACTACTAAGTTCTTTTTTTTTTTAATTTACTTATTGATTTGACAGAGAGAAACATCAATTTATTGTTCCACTCATCCACTCATCCATACACTCATTGGTTGATTCTTGTGTGTGCCCGTACCTGGGATCGAACGAACCCACAACCTTGGCTATCGGGACGGGATGATGCTCTAACTAACTGTGCTACAGGGCCAGGGCTACTACTGAGTTCTTTATTTTCTTTATTTTTAAAAATATGTTTTTATTGATTTCAGAGAGGAAGGGAGAGGGAGAGAGAGAAACGTCAGTGGTGAGAAACATCATCAAACTGTGATCCCCTGGTTCATGGGTCGACACTCAACCACTTAGCCATGCCGGCCGGGCACTACCGAGTTCTTTAAACGCTACTGCGTAGGTTACATGGGAGCAGCAAATTCATTTGGTGTACAAGGACTGTGGTGTAAGTACATTTGCCTATCCTTGTGGAGTTATATTTTTAGAAAGGAATTTTTTCTCAGGTATTTTTAAAAAGTAACCTGCAATCATGACAGTCATTCTTCTGAAATAGGAGTGTGTGTCATTCAGAAAATTCCAAAACGGATTTTTGGCCATTTTTTCCCCTCTACTTTAAAAGAAAACAAATTACCTGGTAAGCTATTTTTGTTTCAAAAAGAGAATCTAAAAATATCCTCCCTTCTACTTCATGTCCCTTTCTGCGTCATACAGAACTGTTGCACTCACACTCCCACCCTCTCCTCATCCCTAGCTGCTTCTGCTGCAATGAATCATAAACACTTGGCAGGGTAATGGCAAGTCTTAACATATTCAAATCCTGGGGGAATTAAAAAATAAAAACTGTACAGACATACTTCTGTTACAAGCGGCACTCAAATTCCAGTTTAAAAATTTAGATACCATAATCTTTTGAACGTTAAGGACTTGGGAGGTCAGTGTTGAATTTATTCTATTCAGACATTAGCTGCATCTTTCAGGCAGCCAATCCTTTGAGTTAATAAAAGCCTTTGTGCCATTCTGTTGTCCATACTTTTATGTATTGCAGTTCTTCTTTGTTTTATAAGGCAAGCAAGCTGGATGTGATCATTTTGAGCACTGTCTCAAAATTATTTGTCCCCTCATTAACTAGCTCTGGGGGCAAGTCACTACTGTACACTTTGAGGCTTACCCATGAGTTTCATTTTGTTTTTAAGGTTTTTTCTTTTTATATATATGTTTGGTTGGTTTGGGGGGGTTTTTTTAGGGAGAGAAGAAGGGAGAGAGAGAATGAGAGAAACATCGATATTCAGTTGCCTCCTTCCACAGATTGAACCCTGACTGGGTATCAAACTGGAATCGAACCGGCGACCTTTTGGTGCACGGGACAATCTCAACCAACTGAACCATACCATAGGCCAGGGCATCAGTTTCACTTTTAACAGAGGTAGCTTCAGGGAGATGAAACAATTCAGAATGACTCAGAAAATAGGATGACTGCTAACATATGAGTTTGGTAGTAGACTGCTTCTTCAATATGATCTTTAAGAGCCCTTGTAACTGTGAAATTCTGTTTTCATTTTGCCCCCACCTTTAGTTGCCTAATACATATCCTGGTAATTGTGTCCATTTTTCTGACACACTTATGACTGAAAAGTAAATAAATGCAGTTAGGAATTTCAGAATGAAGGACTTATCTGTCAAAATTCATTGAGAATCCTGATTCCATTCAAAACTATTTTTGGAATAACCCTTCGGAAATGCACCTAGTAAGATAAGAAAGCCTGCCATGTGCCTTGGGGTGATTTCAGAGTAATGTCAGTGGCTGCCTTCCAAAACACATTTTCAGGTTTTCCCTATAATAACAAGTTCTTTATCGTCTTAAAATCTTCCTCCTTAACTCTTCTAACCTTTAGAGCAGCAGATTTTTAATGAAAACTTTATTACTGCGCATTCCTGTTTCACAAAGCTGCCACAACAATTAGAAAGCAAAATCTGTGGCTTATTACAGTCACAAGACACTGCCTGTTTGTCTGGGAAATCACAAAGTTTTCTATTTCTCTGGCTCATGTTTCATGCTGCTGCAGGAGGAAATTAACCAATATAGATTCCTATTAGAGCCATTCTCTATTTTCGAGTTTTTATCCATGTGAACTTTATAAAATGGCCATTTCTAACGAAAATGAACCAATTATCTGTGATCAAGGGGTCAGCTGGAAAAAAATGGATTCCAGAGTTGACTCTTTAAATAACTATTTAGAATTGCCACCTTTCATCCACTCCTTCATTCAACAGATGGTCTCAATTTTCTACTATATGCTAGGCAGTATCCTGCTATATACCCCAGCAGGGATGACTGGACAATCAGAATCAAAATGGATCAAAAAAACAACAATAAACAAAAACCTGCAGCCTCTTGGAACTTATATTCTCAATGGTTAAGTGGGATGTAGACAGATAATAAAAGACAGATCTTATCTTCTAACCCAGTGATTTTCAGCTGAGGGTGATTTTGACACACACACACACACACACACACACACAC